TGTGTGTGTGTGTGTGTGTGTGTGTGTGTGTGTGTGTGTGTGTGTATACATATTAGAAATGTAGCTCAGAGGTAGAGTGTGTGCCTAGCATGCAGTAGGCCCTAGGTTAAATCCTAAATACTACGAAAAAAACCCAACAACAACAAAAAACCCCAACAAAACCCAACTTTTTACAAAAAGTTATTTAAATACATATTTTTAAACAAAGACAATTCTTGATTCTACAAATAAGTGAAAAATTTTCAAATTTAGTAGACTCCCAAGACATGAACTTACCTTGCTGTCATGTAATATGTGCAAACTATAGCATTGTGGGTGCCTATTTTTGCTTTAGAGTTGATGACATGTTTCTACACTTCAAGCCATGATCAGTGAAGCCTGTGTTAATATGCACAAGACTCAGAATCCCATTTTTCTGTATATTATGCATACCTGAATTTTGTTGTTATTGTTTTGGTTTTTGAGAAAAGTTCTTGGTGTGTAGCCCATTCTAGCCTCGAACTCACAGCAATTCTCCTGCCTTAGCCTCCCGAGTGCTGGGGTTACAGGTGTGCTCCACTATGCCCGCCTCACACCTGGATTTTAGGCTTAGTTGATATAGCGGGTAGCTGAGATGTCAGGAGTAGATACATGATACTCACTAGTATATCATAATATCACTGTTACTTGAAATAATGGAATCAGTGCTAGAAATATTTTTATTACCAAATACTAGTTTGATAAAGTATAACTTGCTTAAGGCTTATCCTGTAATATCTTGCTTAAAGAAAGATCTAAACCAGCTATATATGTGTTATTTGAAAAATGAGTATCAATTTTTCAAACCACAGAATATAAAGTTAACTTTCTCAACATGCAATTAAACTCAATATTTTGTTTGAAAATTCCTAATTCTTAGAAAAGGTGCCTTTTTAAAAGTTTGAATTCATTCTATAATCTTTAATGCATCAGTTATTCATTTTGAGACATGTTGGCCAAATCAGAAAATTCACATACAAAAATTCTTTTGAAGAGTTAATTGATAATGGATAGAAAAATCAGTAGATTGCAGAACTTGCTGGATGGGATAAAAGAGGCAGAAAGACATGGTGAAGGTCCCTTGTTGCTTTTGCTACTTTGTGTGCTCCATGTTGTTTCTCCTCTGCAATGCCCATTTGCCATCCTTGCCTTGGAGTCAGCTGATTGTGGACTGAAACCTCTATGAACAGTAAGCCAAATAAACCTTTTCCGTTTAATGGACAGATAGAGTAAGCATATCTGCCCTTGTTCCCCACCTTAAGGAGAAAGCATTGTATCTTCTCCATTCATATAAGGCGTTTTCACTG